GGGAAAAAAATATAAAAAACAATCATTTGAAGGTACTGGAGAGCAAGCAAAAGCACACAGAGATGATGACCCTAGAAGAAAATGTACTGGCTGAGGTACAAATTTATCTTGTGTGATGGTTAATTTTATGTTTCAACTTGACAGGGCCATGGAGTACTCCGATATTTTGTCAAACATTATTCTGGTTGTTTCTGTGAGGGTGTTTTTAGATGAACTTAACATTTAAACTAAGTGTTAAGCTAAAAAAAGTACAAGTCAAAGGTAAAACAGACTGTAATCCCTAATATGAGTGGGTCTCATCCAATCAATTGAAGGTTTGAACAGAATATAAACGCTGACTGTCTCCCAAATATAAGTAAATTCCTCTTGCCTGACTGTCTCTGAGCTGAGACATAAATTTTCCCTGACTTCAGACCCAAATGGAAACGCTGGTTCTTCCTGGATCTTGAGCATGCTGGCCTTTAGATTGGCACTATGCTGTTGGCTCTACTGGTTCTTAGGCCTTTAAACTCAGAATACAACATTGGCTTTCCTGGGTCTTCCACTTGCCAACTGCAAATCTTGGGACTCGCCTCAATGTAATCTCCAGTTCCTTATAATCAGCCAATCTCTCTCTCTCTTCATATATCTTATATTGGTTCTGAAGAACCTTAATATATCTAGTTTTTCCTAATGTGAGTTTAACACAGGGAAAGAAATTCAAGCAAAAAGTTCCATTCTAACTAGGCTAAAGAGTCAGAAGTGGGATTATAGGGCTGCCAGAACAGCTTGGAAAGAAGTGAGCAACAGAGCACCAAATATATGTACAAACTTCTATTGAATTCTTGATTCCTAAACCATGCATATGTAAGAAGAGGCTCTAAAGAGCTCAGGGGAATCTATAGCTGGAAGGCTGAAAGAAATTAGCAGTAATTTCATCATCTGTCCAATGCTGGGCATACAAAATTTGCATTTCAAGTTATTCTAAGTCAGAAGGTCTAAGTTAATATCTTGGCTTTTTCATTTAAACAACAGAAGGTCCACACCTTAGGTATAAGGACTATGAACCAGGACTCAGGGCAATACACTGACAACAAAACTGAAGCAAACCTATCCTAAGAAAGGCTAAGCCGGCTCGATGGCTCAGCCTGTAATTCCGCGCCTTTGGGAGGCTGAGATGAGTGGATTGCCTGAGCCCATGGGTTCGAGACCTGCCTTGGCAATTTGGCAAGACCTCATTTCTACAATAAATCAAAAATCAGCCGGGCGTGGTAGCACGTGCCTGTAATTCCGGCTACTTGGAAGGCTGAGGCGGAAGGACCGCTGGAGCCCAGTGGGTCGAGACTGCAGTGGCTACTGTACTCCAGTCTGGGTGACAGAGTGAGATGCCAACTCAAAAAAAAAAAAAAAAAAAAAAAAGAATGGCTAAAACCAAGCCTCTATAGGATCAATTGATCTTTCAGAGTTTAACTGCTTCTCAAACAATCTTCAAAGAAGGATTAAGAGTTTCTACAACGTACCACTCACAGAGTCCACTATAAAACAAAAAATCAATAAACATGTGAAGCAGAAAAATTTGTTCTAATATTAAGAGATAAAACAGCTAATAGAAACAGACTCTCAAATGATCCAGGTATTTGGTCTATAAACAAGAACTTAAAAGTAATTATAATACATAAGGTAAAAAATCTACAGGCAAAGATGGATATGAAAGGTGAAGAAACAGAATTTCAGCAGAGTTAAGAGAAGCAAATGGAAATCACAGAAGTAAACAATATATATGAAAAAAAATTCATTAGATAAGGCCAGGTATGGTGACTCACATCTCTAATCCCAGCATTTTGGAAGGCAAAGGTGAGAGGACTGCCTGAGCTCAGGGGTTCAAGACCAGCCTGAACAACATGGCGAGATCTCATCTCAACAATAAATAAAAAAAATCAGCTAGGCGTGGTGGCACACGCCTATGGTTCCAGCTACTTGGAAGGCTGAGGTGGAAGGATCATCTGAGGCTAGTAGGTCAAGGCTGCGTTGTCCATGAGCGTGCCACTATACTCTAGCCTGGGCGACAGAGTGAGCTGCCTCAAAAAAAAAAAATTCATTAGATAGAGTTATTAGCACTCTAGATACGCAGAAGACAGGGTCAGTACACTTGAAGACAAACCAATAGAAATTATCCAAACTGAAGTAAACAACAACAACAAAAAGATGGATAGAGCCTCAATAATCTGTAGTCCCCAAGGGAAAGTAGAAAGAATAAGCAGGAAAAGGTATTTCAAAAAACATTGGAAATTTTGAAAATTTTATTAATGTGAGTACATAAACTTAAAAAAATATATAACTGAGTCAGCAACTAAGTGACTAACAGATGGATAGCATATATAGTGTGGATATGCTGAACAAAGGAGTACTTCACATTCTGTGCAGAATGACACAAGATTTTTTTTTTTTTTTTGAGTTGGAGTCTCACTCTGTCGCCCAGACTGGAGTGCAATGGCCGCTCCCGGCCACCGCAGCCTCGACCTG